CAAAAATAAAGGATTATCGGTATCGGCCAAAATTTTCATATCGGTCCATCCCTAAATAATAATAATAATAATTCTGACACCATTTATGGATCTTGGCCACACGTTGTGACTCTTTTGCATTAAAGGGATACTCCACCCAAAACTGAAAATGTATATATAAATTGAAGTCCCAGACGTATATGACTTTTTTTTACAGCCCCAACTGATGAAGAAAACGGTGTGCAAAAAAAACTTCTTGAACTATAAGCCACAGTTTCCAGTCAAATATCACATGTGCATTCATGAATTCACACTTGATGTGAATGCCAGCTTGTTGTGAACAGTGTGTTGCAAAGCTTGTGCAAAGAGTGACAATCGCACAAGCTTTGCAACCAATGTGGCGCTTCACAAAACTCTCATGAATGTATGACAGGTGGCTGTAAGAAATTGATTAATAAGATTATATATTAGTATGTTTCACTTCAGAAAACACTGATTCATCAGCTGGATTACAGTTGTGTTTACTTTGGATGGCTTTTGAAGCATCAACTTTGAGGGAGGGTTCCATCCATTTGCATTACATGGACTCACAGAGATGGATTATTTATCAAAAACATCTCAATTGTGTTATCTCGAAAAAAGAGAGCCACATACATCTGAGATGGCATGAGATTCAGTAAATAATAAGCCATTTTTAATTTTGGGATGGACCATCCATTTAAGGTAAAAAAAAATAATCTAATTTAGAAAACAAATGTGCTTCAAGGAGCCCTAGATAACCTTGTTATTACATAAAATATCACCATATTTCAGTAACTTAGGAATAAAGCACATTGAATGGGGTAGGATCTCACGTAGCACTAACAGTTTGAGATGTATGACTATGAATTGGTATGCTCTGAAAGAACAAGTACCAAGTTGCTCTAAAAAAGGACATGACATTAGGCTGCGCCACAATGAAAAGATTCAACTTCCACTATTTGAAAATGGCACAACCTTAATGCTGTCAGAGACAAAACCTGAGAATGATTTTCCATTAGTGCCACTGACAACAACAATGCTTTAAATAGCTCTCAACCACAGGTCAAATCTGCATGTCCTCTTCAAATACTGCCCAACAGAAATAAGAGACCTGCTTCCCTCTCCTGCAAAACAGTTTGGTGATATAATAACGGGGTGGAACATAAAACAGACTGAAGGTTAATAACCAGGTTTGAGTTTCTGAAATCTATCATTAGATGAAGCAGGCAAACTGGTCTTGTTATAGTGTGGACAACTCCTTCCAGCAGAGAACTGTTTGATACTTACAAATTTGGTCTTTGGTTAATACATCTGTAAGAAGAATACTGCTAACATCAATGGACAGTACTACTGTGAGCTAACAGGTGGTTAAACTGCTGAAGGATGTAAAACAAAACAAAAAGGGCTAAATGTGCATATGTTTAGCATTGAGGCTAACACACTGCATGGACTGGAAATTAAATAAAGTGAGCGACAAAACAAGGTGGATAAAGACAAGCTCGGTTTCATGTGTACCTCTTAATTCACGCAGAGAATGCATTTCTTCCAGCTTCCACATAAACACAACATTTCTATAGATACTCCACGCTTC